TGTTCACTGGACACACAGAGAAAGCTACGAGAGCAGCCCGACCTGGTCGGAGCAGCACAAGGGGACTCCAGAAGACAGAAAGTCCTCACTTTCATTTAACTGTGGCCCTGTCCTGGGCAAGTCCCACAGTCCAGTTGAAACTGGGCACTGGTAGCAGGTAGTGGTCAGGAAAGGACCTGCAACAGAGGGGACCCCTTGTTTGGAACACAGGACTGTGGTCTGAAAACTGGTTAAGGGACCCTCCCTGTCTTTCCTCGGTCTCCTTTCTGGACCGGGCTCCAGGGCAGACCCACTCACAGAAGGTACATGGCGGACCACAGAGATAAAGGCCCTGCCTTGTAGTTGGGGACCAGGCAGGGGGTCTTGAAAATGGAGCGCGTGGGGGAGGCTGAGGAGGAGGGAGCTTGAGACTCAAGAGCGAGCTTCTCAGTGCGTGCATCCGTCTGACCTTGGCCCCTTTTCAACCATTGTGCGTTGAAAAGGGCACTGAATACACCAGCAAACGTCACTGCTTAGTCACAGAGCACACTGTGGGGCCCGGGTCATCAGCCTCGTGATCACATGACTGACTGGTCCTACACAGTGTCACAAGTGTCACACCTGGAGATCCTCATAAAACTAAAAATAGACCTACCATATCCAGCGATACCACTCCAGGCCATATTTCCAAAGGAATATAAACCAGGATGTAATGGAGACGCACACCCATGTTTACTGCAGCTCTGTCCACAACAGCCGGGCTATGGACCCAGCCCAGCTGCTCTAGAGCTGATGAACGGATCAAGGAAGTGTGGCTCACGCCTGTAATCCCAGCTCCTCAGGAGGCAGAGATAAGGAAGATGCAGTTCGAGGCCAGTCTGGGCAAATAGTTTGTGAGAACTTATCTTGAAAAATACCCATCACAAAACAGAACTGATAAATGGTTCAAGCAGTAGAGCACGTGCCTAGCAAATCTGAGGCCCTGAGTTCAAATCCCAGCACCACCAAAGGAAGTAAAAAGAAAAGCGATGCAGTATAGATACACAATTGAGTATTACTCAGCCATGAAGAAGAGCTGTTTTGTTGACAAGTAAATGGATGGAACTGGAGAACATCATCTTAGGTGAAGTAAACCAGGTTCAGGACAAAGGTAGCATGTTTTCTTCCAAATGTGAAAGACCCAAAAGATAAACATACACAGAACCACACTGATCACACACACATTTATTAGAGGACATGTCTGTAACAGTGGAACCACGCCATGGAACTCGGGAGCAGGGAAAGGGAAAGAGTGACAGTCAACAATACAGCAAAACATGGCACCTGTGCGGGTAGGTGACACAGGACATGTAATGAAAACTGAATAGGGTGTGGGAAGGAAGTAAAGAATATTCACAGCTCGGATACATGGGAAACCCCAGTGAACACTGACTGTGGAATTAAAAATGGAGGTCAGGATGGTAAAATAGGTCCTGGGGGTTGGGAGGGGGAGGGAGGATGGAGGGGTAAAGGAGGGTGAATGTGGACGATGCACTTTATATACTTACACGAACTAGCAGAGGGAGGTGATGAGGGAGAACTTAACCCATGGACAATGTGAGAACATTCAAAATGTCACAGCGAATCCCCCGTTACAACTGGTGTATGCGAGCAAAAATGCTTTAGGAGGAAAAAAAATAGAAAACAAAACCACAAAACATACCAGCTGGGCATAGTGGCTCATGTCTGTAATCCTAGCTACTTGGGAGGCTGAGATTGGGAGGATCGAGGTTCGAGGCCAGGACAGGCAAACAGTTGATGAAACCCCATCTCTAAAATAAGAGCAAAAAGGACTGAGGTGGGGCTCAAGCAGCAGAGTGCAAAGCCCTGAGTTCAAACCCCAATCCCACCCCCAAAAGCCATACTGAATGTGGCTAGCCCAGGAAAAGATGGAAACTTAAAATTTAAAGTACAATTCCCACTAAAAGTGTACTGCTTTCACAGCACCATAAAGGTAAAATGTGTTAAGTCCAACGATCGTAAGTGTGACGATGAATCAACGACTTGAAGAGGGAACTCGGGGGGACTATCACAACAGAATTATATCCAATGTGAACAGCAGAGAAAACAATATTTGAAAAAGACAATGGTCACAGGAATCCGTGGACGGTCTCAAAAATGTTCACGTTGTCGGCATCAGGAGTAAGTGCAAAAAAGCAGCATTTGTACAAATACAATGTGCTGGACACTTCCCACATTACAGAACCAAGACGCCCAGTGAACTCCTCACAAGATATCCTGAAGAAACCCACGCCCACACGTCACCCCCAGACTGCTGAAAACCGTAAGGGGAAACTCTTAAAGGAGCTGGAGAAAATGAAGCCTTTCTTACTGGGAACAAGAAGTAACATGACTGGATTTAATAAGAAACCACAGAGAACCAGGCACCGGTGGCTCATTCCTGCAATCCTACCTACTTAGGAGGCTGATATTGGGAGGATCATGATTTGAGGCCAGTCTGAGCAAGAAAAGAGGAAGAAGGGAGGAAGGAAGGGAAGGAGGGAAGGAAGGAAGGAGGGAAGAAAGGAAGGAAAGAGGGAAGGAAGGGAGGGAGGGAGGGAAGAAGGAAGGAATGAAAGAAAAGAAGAAAAATACATCAATTCTACGTCTTCCAAAAAACAGAAGGGAATACTTTCCTTTTTCTTAATCTCTTTTAACTTGATAAAGGGAATCTACAAAAAATCCTACAGTTAATGAAAGACTGCACTTTTTTTCTTTTTGGTAGGACTAGGGTTTGAACTCACAACTTTGAGCTTGCAAAGCAGGTGCTCTACCACTCGAACCACACCTCAGTCCATTTTGCTCCAGCTATTTTGGAGATGGGGTCTTGCAAACTACTTGCCTGGGCTGGCCTTGACCCTCGATCCTCTTGCTCTCAGTCTCCCAAGGAGTGGGCCTCAGGCAACCAGCAGACTAAGACTACGAGCAAGGTAAGAGTGTCTGCATCGCCACTCGGATTCATTATCATACACGAAGTCCTAGAAGGCATAATAAAACAAGAAGAAAATGAGATCAAAGGCAGTTTGATTAGAAGGAAGTAAACCATCCCTACTTGCAAACGTGATTGTCTACATGTAGCTTGCCAAGGAGCCTAAAAAGGTGCTTATAAAAGTCAGGGCGGCAAGGTCACAGGTGACACAATTGCCAATCGACTGCATTTGTGTATACTAACGGTGAACAATTAGGGGAAAGTACAATCCTCTCTCCCAAATGAGGTAATTATTTCACCAGAAACACAACTGTACTATACATATACTGCTATGTCAGTATGAACAGTCTGGGATGCTGAAAGCTACACTAATGAAAGAAAGACCTACATCAGTGAAAGGTATACTATGTTCACGGACCAGAAGCTCCCACAGGAGAAAGACATCAGCACTCCCCCAGCTGATTAACTGAGTTACTGCCTCCAAACAAAATTCCAGCAGGGTTCCTGCTGTTACTGATATAGACAAAATGATTTTAGGATTTATTTGGAAAGGCAAAGAAACTAGAATAACCAAAACCACTTAAAAAAGTAAAACGAGAGGAATCACACTACCTGGTTTTAGGATGTAATTCTAACGCCACAGAAGTCAAGCTGATGCGGCACTGATGAAGGTAAAACTGCATCTGTCTTATCAGCAGGGCATGGTGGTGCAAGCCTGTAATCCCAGTAGTCAGAGGCAGGAGAATGGAGAGTTCAAGGTCAGCCTGGGCTATGTAGTGAACTCCAGGCTAGCCTGGACTACTGAGCCCTTATCTCAGAAAACAAACAACAAACTTCACAGAACTGTACATCGCAAAGAGTTACTTTTATGGTATGGTCATTTACAATTTTTAAAAATGAAAAAAATTCAAATAACGTTCTTGACATTAGTCTAGAACGGTGCTTTTCCCTTCTTCTCCCCTGACTCCCCTAAATCGCACCCCTGCCGCCCCCGTGACAGTGGGGCACGGAGAGACCTGGAGAGAAGGGGTCTTCGCCTCTCTTGGCTCGGGATGGACAGCTGGGTCAAGCCATCAAGCTGAGCAGTTGTGCTTTTGTTTGTCTCATCCATTGTCTGAAAAGTTCTGGGAACGTCTGGTCTTGAGCCAGATGCTCGTACCGATGTTTGAGTGACCCTTGTCACTCCTTCTGGAGTCCAGCAGTCCGTCCCTTTGATATGTCCTTCTGAATCGTTGTAGTCACAGGACTGCGACATTGGCTCTAGTGGCCTTTAGGATAAGCGGAACCGTGCCCTTGCTTCCGGACTGCTAGGTCACGTCTGGATTAAACACGGGGAACCCAAGAAGCCTTCAAGGTCTCGGCCTCTTCTCATGTAGGACTTAAACCATGTTTTCCCCATACACAGTGACTTTTGGAGGAGCACTTTGTAAACAGTAAAGGCTGGGCTCCAGCGGAAGGAAGGACTTCATGAAGACAACTGGCGACCAGGGATGGCTTCCACCTGTACCACAGTGGCCCAACTCTACTGTCACCTGCCTAAGTCCAATGTAGACAACTGAAGCTGGGCCACAGCAGTGAAGGTGCTCCTGGAGCACTTCTGGAAGGCCACTTATCCTGTAGGGTGGCCCTTCCTGAGAAACTCCTGACTGAGTGCCAGGATGCTCTGGGCTCTGGCTTTGAAGGGACAAGGTGGGACTGTGACAGGCTCACTCCTGGGTTGGTCAGTCTAGGGGAGGGCTGCACTAGGCCCTTGGTTCTGGCTACCACCTTCCTGCCCTCTGGCCAGTAGCTGTGGCCTGCTACTCACAGTGTGGAAAACTTATCTTTGCCATCTTACACCTTTATCTTTAAAGATGTGGGCTGTATGGTTAAAAGCTTTAGCCATTCTTTCTTCTTTACTTTTTTTTGTGGTACTGGGACTTGAACTCAGGGCCTGCACCTTAAACCACTCCACCCACCCTCTTTTGTGAAGGGTTTTTTTTTAGAGATAAGGGTCTGGAGAACTATTTGCCTGGGGCTGGCTTCAAACCTCTCGATCCTCTTGATCTCTGCCTCCTGAGTAGGTTTACACAGGTGTGAGCCATGGCACCGGGCTCTTCTTGCCTTTAGAAAAGGCTGTGCTCCTGTGTCAGCAGAAGTAGAATGTTGAATTCTAGATCTTCACCTAGGATCCATGGCAGATCTGGCATGCTGACACCAACGGAGGGGCTGGGCTCATAGGGGAATCATGGAGCGGACCTCCTTCTCGTAGATGTCAGGGACCATTCCCAGTGGGGAACTGACCATGTGCACAGTACACTTGCCAAACAGCTGGAACTCGTACCGGATGAGCTGTTCCCAAAAGCCACTGTTGGGATGGATGATGGGCCGGCATGACTTGGTCCACGTGTGGGCATCCAGCAGGGACATGCCTTGGTACTTCATGAGGTAGGCAAGGCACAGGGTGGCCGAGCGGCTCACGCCAGCACTGCAGTGCAGCAGTGTGCGGCCCTGTGTCATCTCCACTGAATGGATGTGGTCAGCGATGGGGTCGAAGAAGTCACATAGCTGCGCCATGGGTGCGTCAGCCACAGGCACCTGCAGGTACTGGATGTCTCATGGGTGTCTGCCACCTCCTCCGACACACTGACAACTGAGGTGATCCGGTTGCTGGACAGGAGGAGCCTGTTGTTGGCAGCTGCACGGCTGCTGATATATAAGCTTCTGGTGACCTGGGAGAGGCCACTGACTGAGGGCTTCGGGAAGTGACCCGGGAAGGCACACGGGGGTGCTGTCATCAAGGCGATGGATCAGAAGTTAGGGATGTGCTGAGACTCGCGCCTTTCCGCTGGGCTGTGGCCACCAAACCCTGCAGGGAGGAAGATGTTTAGATGGTAGGGACCAGCAGGCCAACCCGAGGAGGCTTCTGGGAGTTGGATGGCTGGGCCTAAGGGATTCTCTGACTAGCTCAGCAGAATCACTCAGGGAACTCACTAATTATACAGGTCCTGCCCCAAATCCACCAGTTACACCCTTGGGCGAGGACAGTGAGCCTGCATTTTAGCTTCTCAGGTTAGTCTGAGGTGCGTGACCCTATAGCACACCAGGCAAGTCCCTGAGCCTGGCACTAAAACTCCCTAGACCGTCCCCTCCTCATTATCGAGATGAGTAGGTCAACTTGTGTTCCTCAGCTGTGCCCTGCCTGACTCTCCACTTCTCTCTTCCCATCTCTTCACAACTCTCTCCTTCCTTCCAGCCCCTCTAAGTGGGAAAGCACTTGCAGTCTCTCTCTCCAGTCTCTGTTTGGTTTTTTTTGGTGGGGGCAACACTAGGATTTCAACTCAGGGCTTCCCGCTTGCAAAGCAGGTGCTCTACGGCTTGAGCCATGCCTCCGGTGTCCAACATTTCTTCCTTTCTTTCTTTTTTTTTGCAGTAATGGGGTTTGAACTCAGGGCCTTCACCTTGAGTCACTCCACCAGCCCTTTTTTGTGATGGTTTTTTTGAGATAGGATCTCTCAAACTATTTGCCCAGGCTGACTTCAAACCTTGATCTTCCTGATCTCTGCCTCCTGAGTAGCTAGGATTACAGGTGTGAGCCACCAGCGCCTGCCAATCTGTGTACATACTTCTTTTTGGAGGTACTGAGATTTGAACTCAGGGCCTTGTGCTTACTAGGCAGGCTCTCTACCCACTTAAGCCACGCCCCCAGCCCGTGTATACGTATTTCTATAATTTATAGTTTTCGTAGAGAGGGAAACGGGCATGCAGCCTGAGCAACAGAAGTGGGAGCGAGACTCACTCTTCACTTTATATTATTATTAATTATTTTGCAGTACTGGGAATCAAACCCGGCCCTTGTGCATTCTAGGTAAGCACTGTACCACTGAGCCACGCCCCCGGCTGAGTGGTCCAACATATCTGAATGACTACTCTGCTGTGTGGCAAATAATGGAAGGACATCCCCAGGGACTTCAGGGGAAAGAAGGTGGAGAAAAAAGTGCAGGATTTCAGGTGCTTAAGCTGCTAGACCAGTTCCAATTCACAATCATGCCCAACAGAATTCAACCCAAAGGTCAAGGTCAAGTTCAAAGCAGCAAATGGGGAAGACACAGATGCCACCACTTTCATCCTGTTTCAAATGTCTGCAGGCCTACATGGAGTCAGCACTTTGAGCAAAAGTGACGTTCAGATTGGTAAAAGGTAACCTAGGTTACCGCAGCCACAGTCAGAGGTGTCGTCCAAAGCAAAGCCAGTGGGAAACCAATAAGGTGTTGTCCAGTGGGGTGACCTGCACAATTATTGAGCTTTTTTTTTTTTTTTGGTGGGACTAGGGTTTGAACTCAGGGCTTCCCACTTGGAAAGCAGGTGCTCTACCACTTGAGCCACTCCTCCAGTCCATTTTGCTCTGGTTATTTTGTAGACGGGGTCTTGTGAACTATTTGCCCAGGCTGGCGTTGAATTGTGATCCTTCCTATTTTACTCAGCGTCCCAAGTAACTAGGATCACAATTACTGATCTTTAAGTCAACTAAGAGCAGATAAAGCTACAGGTTTTATTTAGGTTTCCCTTGGTAACAAAACTAAGCTGCTTATCTGGCCATTGGAGAATAGAGACCAGTTTCAAATGATACAATTAAGTTCCCTCTGTCTTAACCGTTTCACAATAAAGGCTAATCTAAATCAACCATTAGCCAGTCATTTTTCTACTATTCCACCAGTCAAGGAAAGTAACTTTGAAATGATCAATCTGCTATTTGCTTCTGCTCTTCAACCCTTTCCTGTCCATAAAACCATACTCCCCTCCCCGCCCCCGCTTGTCTCACCGTAATGTTTCAAATTTGTAGAATAAAGTGTTGCCTGATTTTACAACATAAAGAGCTGGGATATAACTCTGGTAGATCACTTGTGAAAGGCCTTAGGTTTGTGGGTTTGACCCCCAGCAAAGAAAGAAAAAAACAAACCAAAACCATGGGCTGGGGATATAGTTCAGTGCTCCAGTTTAAAACACCAGCCCACTGGCCAGGCACTGCGGCTCACACCTGAAATTCCGGCTACTCGGGAGGCAGAGGCTGGGAGGATTGACGTTCAAGGCCAGCCCAAGGCAAAAAGTTAGCAAGAGTCCAGCTTAACCAGACAAGCTGGGCATGGTGGGGGCACCTGTCCCCCGACTATGCAGAAGGTGTAAGTCGATAGAAGATCTCTGTCCAGGCCCGCCCTGGGAAAAACCCAAGTCCTTATTGGAAAATAACTAATGCAAAAAGGGCCGGAGTTCTGGCCCTGCATGGTTAGCAAGGGCGGGGTGTGGAGTTCAAATCCAACCCTAATACCTGCCAGTCCAAGTGTAGAAAGCCAACTAAGACCTTAAAGCTGGGCTGAGCGTTTGATCAGGAGGATCGGGAGGTGGAGGCCAATCTGAACTGCCTAACCAGACCCCGTCTCAAAACAGTTTGGCGTCTCACCGTTTTACCGCCTTTCAAACTCGTGGCTTCTCTCCTCTGGCTCCATCTTCAAAGCAACCTAATCGGCCCGGAGTCACAGGTACGCGAGACACAGAGGAGGAAAGCGCTGTGTCCTGGTCACACAGCAAGTCCGAAAGCGGATGCCCCTGGTCCGTTAATATGTGCACGAAGTGGGTCGAATGCGCGGGCGACGGTTAAGTTCTGGTAAATCCACGCATTGACGGGTGCCAGGCGCCACTTCCAGGTGATCCCGGCAGGTTTCGGGAGACGATGGCATTGGAACGGGCTTTCCAACGCGGTGACAAGACCCCACCCTTTTACCTCTTTCCGGCAGGATGGCCTGGAAGCCCCAGGCGATGATCTCGCCAGAGAGAGAGAAATCCGACCCGTCAGGATCCTGGACCACAGTACCGGCCCGCCCCGTAGCAGCGGTCCCTCCTCGCGGGGACGAAATGGGTCATCCCGAGTCTTCGGAGCAATCTCCGCGTCGCCCTGACCCACTCGGTTATACCCCAGACCACGTGGTGAAGCCAGGTGGGCTCAGCTTACGCCAGACCACGCCATCCCGTCTCCACCGCAACGCCCATGGCGGCATCACGGCGGCGGAGCACCACAATCCTGCCGCTCTGGCAACCTCCAAGTCTCGCGAACACGTAAGGCCCCGCCCTCAGGCCCGCCTAGGCCCCGCCCCAGGACGCCCTCTGGCCGCCTCTGGCCCCGTATCAGGCACGCCTCAGGCCCCGCTCAGGCACGCCCTCTGGCCCCCTCTGGCCGTACTCGGCACGCCCTCAGGCCCGCCCTCAGGCACACCTCTGGCCCCGCCTCTGGCCCGTACTCAGGCCCGCCCTCAGGCCGCCTCAGGCACGCCCTCTGCCCCGCCCTCTGGCCCGTACTCAGGCACGCCCTCAGGCCCCGCCCCAGTCCCGCCCTCAGGCAGCCCTCAGGCCCGCCCCCAGGCCCACAGCCCCCCCCGCCTCTGGCCCCGCCTCTGGCCCGCCTCTGGCCTCAGGCCCCCCCAGGCACACCCTCAGGCCCACTCTGGCCCAGGCCCCGCCTCTGGCCCGCCCTTCTCACGCGTCTCCAGGCAACGCACGGACTACCGCTTCGGAGGCTGCTCTGGTCTCACTCCGCTGTCCGCGCAAGTCACACATCATGGCTTCTTCTTCGACTCTTCGAGGGTGCAGACGCTACCACCCACAGAGGCCCGCAGTCAAATGGGATCTAGGCTCCTCGTCTACTGATTTTGAGACCATGGCCGGGCGTCCATCACTTCCGGCTCCACCTCAGGTTTGAACTTCCGGCGCGATACCTGGATAGCCAGCAAGAATCGCGCAGGGTCCAGCCGCAGGTCTCCTTCTGCGGCCGCGGACCCCAAAGCCGCCGGTGCTGTTTCAGGTGCGCGGGGTTGTCAGAGTCCTGGACCCGTGGGGGACCCGAAACCTCGGACCCGATAGTTCCTGCCTGTCCCCCCCACAAGATCCACTCTCAGACCCCCGATTCAGCCCTGGCTCCTTCCCAGTTCAACTCTTTGGGGACCCCAGGGTCCCAGATCGCGGCGGAGGCCCGTCGCCATCTCCAACCACCTACCAGCCTCCAGTCTTGGCCTTTTGGTCCCCCAGGCTGACAATCGCGCGCCCCAGCGCCCTTTGGGGCGATCACTGAACCTCATACAGTCTGGGCAAGGCAGGTCCTCTCAAGTGCTAACCTGACCGACACCCTGTTTTCAAGCCTTCGCGTTCCCCCAGCTTGGAAAAGCGCGCCAGTTCCCTTTGACCCAATTTTCACGAACCCCAATTTCCCCACCCCTTCATTCCTCGACCTCCCTTCCTGCGTCCTCCAGGCTCCCAGAGGACTTAAGTGGAAAGCGATTTGGTTCAAAATGACATTATTTATTACTTGAAAAGATGACTTTTAATCATTTTTTTAAAAAATAAAAAAACCTTGCCAGTATTGGTGAGTTTAGCGCACCACTTAAGTGGGGCGAAGAGAGTTTTACGTGTCCTTAATATTTTCAGGCTGGCCTTAAACCGCGAGCTCCTCAATCTCAACCTCCAAGTAGCTAGGATTACACGTGTGAGCCTGGTCTTTTCAATTTTATTTATTTATTTATTTATTTGCTGTCCTGGTCCTTGAGCTCAGGGCCTACAATTGGGCCACTCCACCGGTCCTTTTTTTTTTCTGATGGGATTTTTAGAGATAGGGTCTCTCCAGCTATTTGCCCAGGCTGGCTTCAAATTGTGATCCTTCTGATCTCTGCCTCCTGAGTAGCTAGGATTACAGGTATGAGCCTCCAGTACCTGCCTTGTTTTACCCTTTAAAAATCATCTTTTTTAAAAAAAAAATTCTAATTAGTGAAGTAGTGTACACTTAGAGAAAAATCAGAAGACAGACCAACAAAATGAGAGGCCAGGGACAAGCACTAACTTTTTGATGTATATGATTCTAGGTTCATTCATATATAGTGCTATACTTTAAAAAAAAAGTCACAAAAAGTTCACTGTTTCTATCCTGCTTTTTCTCCCTCTCTGGTACCCCAAAGTTGTTTATGTTTTTTACGTGGTTATGTTTATGTTTTTACATGGTTATGTAAATTATGTGTATTTTATTTTACCAAAATTACTAATTTGTTTCCTTGTTGTACCATTTACTTTCCAAATTTTAGAAAGAAATGTGGCACCCTGAGTTCAATCCCAGTACCACTTAAAAAGGAAAAAAAGAGAGAGAAAAGAAAAGGAAACATGGCCAAAGCGTGATGGCACATACTTGTAGTGCCAGCACGTGGGAGACTGAGGCAGGAGAACTGAGGGTTTGAGGACAGGCTGCTACATGAGACTACATCCTACACTCCCCCCAAAAAAGAAAGAAAAAATATGAACAATTGTTTTTAAATGGGCAAAACCGTTTAGAGGTATATATTTGTAAAGCCACTTCATGGTGTAACCAAATTATCAAGAAGTGAAAACTCAGTGGCTGGCAACATCCATTTTTGATCAATTTCATTATTGTCCCTTTTTTTTGCCTGCAGCACCATGCTCCATTCTTCCCCACTTCTCCCTACCCATCCCATCGTCTACCTCCCACCCTCTAGCGTCTCCTAAGGCCAGCCCACCCAAACTTCCCTCACCTCTGTAAACTTTTCCCAAGCCCTCTTCTTAGGATTACCCTCTAAACCAGCCCAGCGCCCATTCAAACTTTGTTTTCTCTGCTCTGATCTTGCCCACTTCTCAAAACCCTCTAGTGAAGGAAGAGTTTCTGCCTTGACCTCCCAAAATTCATCCCTGGGACCTCTTGCCTTTCATTGTTTGCTTGTCTCCTCTAAGACCCCCCACCTCTGCCTCATCCTGCATTTTTCTATTAAGAATAACTGCTCCTGCTGGACACTGGCTCATGCTGTAATCTAGCTACTCAGGAGGCTGAGATCAGGTGGATCGTGGTTTGAAGCAGCCCTGAGCAAATAGTTTACAAGACCCTATCTTGAAAATACCCATCACAAAAAAGGGCTGATGGAGTGACTCAAGGTGTAGACTCTGAGTTAAATCCTAGTACTGCAAAAAACAACAACAACAAAAAGAAAGCAAATTAAACCTACCCCATATATACCTTGGCCCAGACCCTGTACCTGGTCTGTACTGTGAATAGCAAGACAGGAAAGATTTAATAATAATAATAAAAAGAGTGGTCTCTTGTTTTGTTGGGTTTTTTTCTTGTTTTGTTTGAGACAGGGGCTCCCTGTGCAGCCCAGGGTGCCCTTGAACTCTCTATCCTCCTGCCTCAGCTTCCCTAGTGCTGGGATTATAAGGATGTACAACCAAGCCCAACCCTCTGTTGACAGTCTTGTGGACTGCTCTGCTCTGAACTTTCCTACACTCTTCTCAGGATGGCTTTTCCTCTTGACATCCAAGAAACAACCCTTTAGCTCATCACATCCACAAAGTGAAACTTAACGCTGCTCCATTGCTCTCTGAAAATTACGGAAAAAACTGAGGTTGTCCTGAGAAACCTGGGGAGGCCGCCCTGCTTCGCCAGCACCCATGGAGTCAGGCCCCGGCCATCTGTAACCTGTGTTACCTTTACCTCCCCACTCCAGCCTAATGAATTCCAGTGAAGCAGCGGTGAGAAAATGCTTACCTAAGAGCCATTTATCTCGGGTGATTATCCATGACAACTTCAGTGCACAGCGAATCTATGAGATGGAGGTAAGATAACCACAAGCTCTTGCATTCCAGACTGTTAGTGGCTGGGACCATGTTTACTTCACAGGCTCCATACCTAGGTGTGCGAAATAACACTCATCTATCCAAACTCAAGAGAATAGTCTCAGACACGTGGAGCACAGGAAAAACCAGACTTTTTTTCCCCTTTGGGATACTGGGATTTGAACTCAGTACCAGCCCTTTTTTTAGTGATGGGTTTTTTCGAGATAGGGGCTCTCAAACTATTTGCCTGGGCTGGCTTCGAACAGTGATCCTCCTGATCTCTACCTCCTGAGTAGCTAGGATTACAGGCGTGAGCCACCAGTGCCTGGCTGAAAGTGAGACTTTAATGGCAATCTTGCAAGATGGGGTGCCTGATGAGCACAGGCCCCCAAAGTGATTGCAAGCATTGTATTCTGTACTGTGCAGGTCTGTCATTGGCTGAGTACTTTGGGGTTTATATACTGTTCCCCCCTACCCCCTGCGTAGCCTAATTCCTATTGGGTTATTTTAAAATGTGCCTTTCTTGGGATTGGTGACATTTTAGAGGCACGCTTTAAATGGTACCCACCTCCCTTTGTGGTGAGGTGGGGGAAGGTCTCCTGTGACACGTGCTTTCTGGCAGTACACATTTTACCCATTTCTTCATTCTATCATGATTTGCCCCTCCCAGTTTAAGTTCCTTTATCAGTTTCCCCTTCCCCACCAACAGCTGCAAGCTGATACCAAAGCAGGCAGCTAGGGTTAAATGCCTTCCCTTGAAAATGGACCAGCACTGACTGTATTGTCAATGCCAGAGGTCAGGGTGAAGCGTGGAGAGTCTATGGTCCCAGAGGTCACAGTAAGCCATCAGGTGCTTTAAGGCAGGCCCCAGTTTTACAGAAGAGGTAGATGAAGATGACACTTGGGATTAGTGGCTTGCTCAGCATGTCACACTTCTCCTGGGAGAAAGACTTCATAGCTCCTGGCTCTTGTGGCATTTTTCTTTCTCAAAGCACATTGTCTCCTATACAAAACCTCAGATTCAGAGTTTGAATCCACATCAACACTATGTGATCACTTTTTTTTCCCTTTGTTGGGCAGGGAGGGTCATCCCCATTTTCTAGAAAGGAATCAAGGCTCACTGGGGTCTGGTGGGTCTGGTGGCTCATACCTGTAATCCTAGCTACTGAGGAGGCAGAGATCAGGAAGATCACAGTTCAAGGCCAGCTCAGACAACACGTGAGACCTCTGTCTCAAAAATACCCAACACAAAACAGGGCAGAGCGCCTGCCTAGCAAGCGTGAGGCCCTGAGTTCAAACCCCAGTTCTGCGCCCCCAAAAAGAACAGAGGCTCTTGTTTCACTCTTGTTTATAGACAAGAAAGAGTTGACCTGCTTAGTGGAAAACCAAAGTACAGTCACCTCACTGCTCCTGACTC